CCCTTTCGCTTTTGGTTTTGATTCTTCTTCCAAAAGAACTCCCCCTGGGGCTTCGGCCGATCCTGCCGGCCACCCGGAAGGGCGTGCAGAGATGCACAACAGGTGGTTGCAGAGGGTTTTTCGACTCCAGACGGCTCCAAGATGGCCTCCAAGATGGCCAAGATGGCCCAAGATGGCCTCCAAACTCGCCCAAGATGGTCCAAGATGGCCTCGAAGACGGCCCAAGAGAGTCCAGGATGCCTCCAAGTTCGCACTAGAAACACCTAAGACGCCCCAAGACGGCCCCAGAGGCCTCCAAGAGGCCTCCAAGAGGCCTCCAAGACGGCTCAAGAGGCCTGGAAGAGGTCCTCCAGCGTCCTCAAGGACGGCCCGAAGAGGTCAGAATCATTGATTTTCCGTAGGTTTTTGTAGGATTTTGGCTGTTGCTCCTTTTCGGCCTTCCGACGGCCCAAGACTACCCAAGAGGCCATCAAGATCGCCCCAAGAGTGCCCAAGAAGCATCCAAGACGGCCCCAGGACGCCCCAGGAGGCCGAGAGGCCCCCAAGAGGGCGCCAAGAAGGTCCCAAGACGGCCCAAGAGGCCCCCAAGAAGCCCCAGATGGCCTCCAAGACTGCCAAGATGGCCTCCAAGATGCCTCCAAGACGGCCAAGATGGCCTCCAAGGCGGCCAAGATGGCCCCAAGATGCACCCAGGAGGGCCCCGGATGGCTTCAAGATGACCTAAGACTGCCCAAAAGGCTCGCAAGAGGCCTCCAAGACGGCCCAAGGGCCCTCCAAGACGTCCTCCAGGCAGGCCCGACAGGGTTAAAATCATTGCTTGTCATTCGGTTTTTCGGGGATTTGGGCTTTTGCTCCTTTTCAGCTCTCCGACGGCCCAAGCGGCCCCCAGCATCGACCCAAGAGTGCCCAAGAGGCCTCCAAGATGGCCCCATGACAGCCCAAGAGGCCCCCAAGAGGGCCCCAAGAAGGCCCCGCGACGGCCCAAGGCCCCGAAGACGCTCAAGATGGCCTCCAAGACGGCCAAGACGGCCTCCAAGATGCCTCCAAGACGGCCACGAAGGCCTCCAAGACGGCGAAGATGGCCCCAAGATGCACCCAAGACGGCCCCAGATGGCCTGAAGATGGCCTTAGACTGCCCAAAAGGCCCGCCAGAGGCCTCCAAGACGGCCCAAGAGCCCTCCAAGACGTCCTCAAGGAGGCCCGAAAAGCTTAGAAACCACCTGGTCCGATAGTTCGCCCCGCTCCGCGTTCCCCGAAGGCTTTCGAAACCCACTCGGGGAACGCGTGGCCCGATAGCTTGGCCAAGCTCAAACCCAACTTTCGGCCACGCAGGCGCTTCCACAAAGGCAGGGGGCGGCGGTGATTCGCCGTAGGCGTCTTCTATCCGCCGCCCCCTGTTTGCTTGCCACAGGGGTGCCCGGCGTGCTAAATCCTTTCGCTTTTGGTTTTGGTTCTTCTTCCAGAAGAACTCCTTCGGCCGATCCCGCCAGGGTCCCAGATAGGCCCGGAAACGACCTCGATGACCGCAAAAATTCTCCAAGACGGCTCAAGATGGCCTCTAAGATGATCACGTTGGCCCAATATGGCCTCCAAGATGGCCCAAGATGGCCTCCAAGTCGCCAAAGATGGTCCAAGATGGCCTCCAAGACGGCCCGAGAGAGTCCAAGATGCCTTCAAGTTCGTCCAAGAAGCCTCCAAGACGGCCCAAGATGGCTCCAAGATGGCCTAAGACTGGCCAAGAGGCCCCCAAGAGGCCTCCAAGACGTCCTCCAGGAAGGCCCGAAAGGGCAAAAATCATTGATGTTCCTTAGGTTTTTCAGGGATTTTGGCATCTTCTTCTTATCAGCTCCCCGACGGCCCAAGACGGCCCAAGAGGCCCCAAACATCGTCCCAAGAGCGCCCAAGAGGCCTCCAAGATGGCCCCATGACAGCCCAAGAGGCCCCCAAGACGGTCCCAAGAAGAGCCAAAGACGGCCCAAGATGGCCCGAAGACGCCGAAGATGGCCTCCGAGACAGCCAAGATGGCCTCCAAGATGCCTCCAAGACGGCCAAGAAGGACTCCAAGACGGCGAAGATGGCCCCAAGATGCACCCAAGATGCACCCAAGACGGCCCCAGATGGCCTGAAGATGGCCTTTAGATTGCCCAAAAGGCCCGCCAGAGGCCTCCAAGATGGCCCAAGAGCCCTCCAAGACGTCCTCCAGGAGGCCCGAAAAGCTTAGAAACCACCTGGTCCGATAGTTCGCCCCGCTCCGTGTTCCCCGAAGGCTTTCGAAACCCACTCGGGGAACGCGTGGCCCGATAGCTTGGCCAAGCTCAAACCCAACTTTCGGCCACGCAGGCGCTTCCAAAAGGGCAGGGGACGGCGGTGATTCGCCGTAGGCGTCTTCGATAACGCCAATGTTTCAATATGCGCTGGTGATTCCCGCATGCTGTTCCCAGATGCGCCAAGGCAGCGCCGAGACGCACCGACGCGAAACTGTTACATCCCAGTATGATAGAGAGGGGGCTGGCGGCAGGGAGCGAAGCCCTTACGATAGGACCTTGTATGACACAGGCGCCTCCAAATGCCGAGATTTCCTGAAGAACAGCATGCCGCCGATGCTGCTGACGAAAAAGGAGCCGATGAGCATCCCGCTCCAGGCACCTCCGTTCGGCACGTCGTACCGTTCAGACAGCGCCCAGCTGGCTGGGATAACGATTGCGTAGGAGAGCGAGGTGAAGAAGTATGACCACAGCAACAGCCACCAACGTGCATCCCCACTACTCACACAGTCCATGTAGCGGAGTTGCGCCGCCTGTGGCGCGGGCTAGAGTTACTTCGACACAACATCTGGGCAAGGCTGGCGCCGACGGGCCTTTGAGCCAAAAAAATCGACGGAGGCGGGAAGGAGGGAGGAGGGAGGGGGGCCAGAAAGAGGGAGAAGGATGGATGACCAGAGACAGTGGCAGAAAGAGGGGAGAGGAGCAGACCTTAATGGGCGGCAGACCTCCAGGCGCGGCCGCGCTGGCGCACGCGCGCTCGCGCGCTGGCGACGACGACGACGACGACGACGACGGCAAAGACGACGACAACGACGACGACGACGACGACGACGATGACGAGCGTCTTGGGCGGCAGATCTTCACGGGCGGGTCGGACGGGCGGGGCGGGCGGTCCCTAACGGGCTTGTCGGACGGCCTCCTCATCCTTCTCCTCCTC